AAAGAATTACGCTCTGATTTCCTCTATATCTTTCTGCTGTTGCTTATTTACTATCGACGCTATTAATTCATGCATTTGAGCTGAGCTAGTGTTCTCCGCACTTGTTCTGGGTGGGCACTGGGTTTCTTCCATATGTTTTTGCATTTGATTCTTTAGTGCAGATGTTATTAATTCAGGGATTTCTTTTTTTATTTCCAATCTGAGGTCCTGTTTACCTTTATGCAGCTGTTTCTTTATTTCAGAAGCTGTTGATTCATTGCTTTCAGCTGTGTGATTTCCAATTTTTTCTGTGTTAGTGTCCTCTGCAGTTGTTACAGGTGGGCATGGGTTCTGATGTTGCATTTTGTTTCTTTTCATTATTTTGTGTAGCACTGTCTTCTGACCTTTGTTGTAGATCTTTGTTGTAGTTATAACCTTCGCACGTACTGAAGTGCAGGTGCAGCTCTACAAAGTTTGGACTTATCCAGCTTTGCCTGGCTTGGGTCTGGCTGCTGTGTTCAGCTCCTTCCTGTTGCTGCCCTTGAGGGTGATCCTGTTGTGCCCCTGTGGCAAGATGTTCTGCTCCTGGACTAGGCGGTTGGATCTATCCTCTACACTCTCTGCAGGGATTGCAGCTGCAGGCTTACACCCCAGGCATGTATGCCAGGCCTTAGCTGTGCCTGGAGGGTGGAAGGTGGAGTAAGGGGGAGAGAAAGCTCTCCCTCACACTCACTGGGTCTGGGTTAGGACTGGGTCTGGGTGGTCCCGGAACATGGCAGAAATTCCTACTCGGCATGCGGGGTACGGGAGGTGCTGCGGAGTGGTGGGGGACGTCCCAAGTTGGTGGGAGAGGGTCTCGCCCACACCGCGCCTGGGGTGGGACTGGTATTTGGTCCAGCTGGGTCAGAGTAGCAGGAAGCTCTCCTACCCACTCACCAGACCTGGACTAGGACTGGGTCTGGGGGTTCCCGGAACGAGGCAGAAATTCCTACTCGGTGGGCGGGGTGGGGGAGGTGCTGTGGAGTGTTGGGTAGCATCCCAAGGAGGTGGGAGAGGGTCTGGCCCACCCTGCGCCTGGGCTGGGACTCGTCCCGCCGGCACAGGGTAGCAGGAAGCTCTCCCACACACTCACCAGACCTGGGCTATGACTGGGTCTCAGGGCTCAGGTTTCTTGAAGGAAATGTTTCACCTTATTAGTTGGCTGGACTATGCGAAAGGAAGATATGAAGAGGAATCTGGGTGATTGCAAGCACCAGGAAAGACTTAGGTAAGAAAACACAGAATATGTTTATTAAAGTGGATGGAGTAGGGAGGTGCTAGTGGACAAGGGCAATGAGGTTGGTAATGGAAGCTGGGATGAGATGTGAGGAAAGGCTACAGGTGGGGCCCTGAATATCCCAAGTTAAATCAACTCCAAATGCACTGAAGACACTCAATTGGATTGTTCCCTTGCATGAAGTATGCCCCTCTTGACATCTAGATACACAGCCCAGATGTCATTTGCTGGTCACCTGTGTCCAAAGTCTTTGTCATCCTTTAAAAATCAACCTGCACCTTCAGTGAAAAGAAGTGCTGGTTACAATTTGAAGGGTGCCTTCAATGTCCCTGGAGGGGGGGAATTTGACCATAGGGCACAATAATTGCCTTGGGCATGCCTGGTTCCAACCCTTCCTTCTCCCCTGGGGAAGAACATGGGTGATGTGTTTATTGCTGCATACCTGGAGCTCAGCACACCACAGGGTTCAGTTATCTGCTATCAAAGGAAGGGAAGGGGTGAGACATTCTTCTTCTCACTCTGATAATGGCTTTATGTTGACTCAAACCACTTCGTACCACAAAGGGGAACATAGCAATTCTCCCACCTTTGCATGCTTTGTATTTCAGGCTTGACAACATTCTCAATTATAAAATCTGTGCCTGCCAATGAACATTTCTAGAAGGGAAAGGCTGAAATTTGGTGGCAGTAGAGAGAACTCGAGAGTTATCTTGCTAGTCTCTGGCCGCCAGATGCATGTAAACCTGTGCAAAATATTGAAATTCTTCATCCCTTCTCTCCTCTTACCATTCCCCAGCTGGCTCCTGTTGGCCTTGCTGTCTTTATTTTCTACTCTCTACGAGGCAGCCAAGCACTTCCTATTGCACAGTGGCTGTTTGAGTGGCAGTAGGCAGATAGGGACATGGCTTTCCTCCCACACTTGTTCTAGTAGTACAAAGAAAATTGGTGATGATTCATCTCTACTTGCCTTGACCCTTCTTCTCAGCCTTCCATGGTTTAGAAACAAGGCCTGGGAAAGTGTGTCCAGAATTTGAAGAGATTTTATTTTCCTCCTCCGCCTTCATTTTGCTTCCCAAGGTGCAGGCTCTGCATCAATAAGACACAAGGTGAATAAGGGAAGTGCATTTTTCCTTGAGTTTTCATGGTATATTTGCCAGGTCAAAGTTTTTCTCTCTATTTTAAAGGTGACAAAACAGAGGTTCAAAAAGCCTAAGGTCAGTGAGGACGTATAATCTGAGCTGAAGCTATTTGGTTAAGAGTTATACTCTTAACTACTGCATATTCCAGTGGCTCCAGGCACACTTTCATGCCTGATCCTGCTTGCCACTCCAAGGGATAGAAACAGAGTCCCAGCATCCCTCTTACCATCATGTGCTAAGCAAGGACAACAGTCTAGAGCTTATTTCTTGTTTGCTTCTGTTCTCACTGTTGTTATTTGTCCTCCTTTCTTACCCATCCTTCCCTGCTAACCCACTCTAGAGTCTCTTACCAGAGTATGAAGTAGATGGGAAGCATGCTGTGGTGGGAAGATGCTATTCTCATTTTCATGTTATTTTCTCATAAGGAAAGTGGATTTTTTTTCTTTTGATGATTCAGCAAATGTATCCATATGTAAAACTTCAAAACCCACAAAAGTATACGAAGAAAGACAAAAGTCGCTCGTAAGCTATGGACATTGTCATAATTTTGAATTCAACACTTGTAGACATTTTTTAAGATAAACTTTCCTTGCTTTACCTGCGAGAGACATGGCTTGGTGGGTCATTCCTGGTGCTCTCTTTACTTGACACAAGTATTATCTTCACTTCATTCTGTTTCCTGGGTGTGTTTCTTGTCTATACACTCATTAAGAAGTGAACACATTGCATTTAAATACATTGGGAACAGTCTCATCTCAAACAATGAAATAGAGCAGAGAACAAGTTAGTGTCTCTGATCCCATAGAATCCGAACCATGGGGCTGGAGAGATAGCTCAGTGGAATAAGCACTTGCCTGGCAAGCACAGGGTCCTGAGTCCAATCCCCAATACAGAAAGAAAGAAAGAAAGAAAGAAAGAAAGAAAGAAAGAAAGAAAGAAAGAATCTGCATCGTGGTGACAAAGGCAAGTAATAAATAGATATGTTTATCAAGAGATAACCAGGCATTTCGTTGTCAGAGCTGAGCTGAGGCGCGGTTCCTAATAAAGAGGAATCTGCTAGACTTCAAGATTTAAGAAGAGGTGAGAATATATTGCAGCTATAGAAATTGACCTGTTGAGAAACGTGATACAAATACTGGGAAAAACCTGCTCTTCTGTACTAAGGGTAGGACAATGTCACACATTAAAAACTCTTACTCCTTTGATGCACCCTCGGACTTCATTAATTTTACATCCTTGGATTATGAAGAAGATATAGAAAACATAGATTCATGGTTTGAAGAGAAGGCCAATTTGAAGAATAAGTTTCCGGGGAAAAATGGGACAGGAGAGCTTTTTCAGAGCAAAACTTCCCTGAGAAAAGCAAATCTTCAGCAAGCTAGTCTCACACCTTTGCAACCAGTTGAGAACACTTACTACAAAGAGGCAGAAAACACAAATCTTACAGAACATTCGAATTTGTTGAATGCTGGTTGCACCCTGGAAGTTGAGGGCACCAAATCAAGAAACACTCCAGCCCAGCCTCAGAGGCGATCTCTTAGACTTTCTGCTCAGAAAGATTTGAAGAAAGAAAAACATGTTCCCATGAAAGCAAAGAGATGTACCACTTCTGTAATCAGTGAAACTCCACCATCCAAAAAAATGAAAATTTCTCAAAACAGCAAGAAACCAGGGGAAGAAGAGGGCACTACTCAAGGTACTTTGAAAAAGAGTACGTGTTCTCCAGAGAAAGCCAAGGGCAGACGTACTGTGCTTCATGTACCAACTATAAAGCAAAAGATTCTTAAAAGTACTGAGGAGCAGGAGTTGGAGAAGAGCCTGAAAATGCAGCAAGAAATGATAGAAATGAGGAAAAAGAATGAAGAGTTCAAGAAACTTGCTCTTGCAGGAGCAGGGCAACCAGTGAAGAAATCAGTGAGCCAGGTAACCAAAGCAATTGACTTTCACTTCTGCACAGATGAGCGAATCAAACAACATCCTAAGAACCAGGAGGAGTATAAGGAAGTGAACTTTACAGCTAAACTGCGAAAGCATCCTCCATCTCCCGCTCAAGTTAAGGGCTGTACTGTTATTAAGCCTTTCAACTTGTCCCAAGGAAGGAAGAGAACTTTTTTTTTCAAAGTTTTATTGATAAACAGATAGCAATGAGACAGTTTCAAATCCAATCGGAAGTACAGT